CTCTCTGCAAAGCTTTTCTTTCTGCAGCTGTGCAGCCTCCATGCCACACGTTGATGCTGGAGCACAGGATGCTCTCCACTGCACACCTGTAGAAGGAGGTGAGGACTGAGCTTCCAGACCAGCTCGCCTCAGCCGTCTGAGGAAGTAGAGTCTCTGATGAGCTTTCTTGATCAGGCTGGTGGTGTTGTTGCTCCAGCTGAGGTTGTCATTCATGTGTACACCCAAGTACTTGTAGCTGGAGACCACTTCCACCGCAGATCCTCTTATGTTCAGGGGGGTGTAGATGTTTTTGTTCCTTCTGAAGTCCACAATCATCTCCTTTGTCTTCTTCACATTGATGTGAAGGTTATTCTCTCTGCACCAGCTCTCCAGGTGTTCCACCTCTTGCCTGTAGCTGGGCTCATCATTGTTTGTGATACATCCCACCACCGCTGTATCATCTGCAAACTTTACAATGTGACAGCCTGGATGGGTAGCTGCACAATCATACGTGAGCAGAGTAAACAGGAGGGGGCTCAACACACATCCCTGAGGAGCCAGTGCTGAGGGTTATAGTGGAGGAGGAGAAGTTGTGGATCCTCACTAACTGTGGTCTGTTTGTTAGGAAGTCTAGTACCCAGTTGCAAATCGAGGGGCTTAGTCCTAGTGTGGATAGTTTGTCCATCAGGGTTTGGGGGATCATGGTGTTGAAGGCGGATGTGAAGTCCACAAAGAGCATACGGACGTAAGAGTTTTTCTGCTCCAGGTGGTTGAGAGCAGTGTGGACCACAGAAGAGATGGCATCCTCTGTTGATCGGTTCTCATGGTATGCATAGTGATGCGGGTCCTCGTTGATGTTGATGGTTGTTTTGATGTGGGTCATGACCAGTTTTTTAAGCATTTAGCGACTATCAGGGTGAGGGCCACTGGCTGATAGTCATTCAGACCAGTCACTGTAGATCTTTTTGGGACTGGGATGATGGTGGCAGTCTCCAGGGTAAGTGAGGTGTTAAAGATGTCTGCCAGCACCTTGCAGAGCTGATCGGCACATTCCTTCAACACTTTTCCAGGGATGTTGTCTGGGCCAGTTGCTTTGTGCGGATTAATCCTCCTGAAAGTACTCCTTACTTCGGCTAAGGTCACGCTGAGATGCTCTTCATCCGGTGGCGAGGTGAGTCTGGTGCTGGGTGGTCTGTTCGGGTCTTCAAAGTGTGCATAGAACTTGTTGAGGGCATCAGGCAGAGATGGGTCTTTGGGGCATTGTTCACTCCTTCCTTTATAATCTGTTATGCACTTAATGCCCCTCCACATGCTCCAAGGGTCTTTTGAGATGAATTGACCCTTGATCCTCTGTGCATATGTGGCCTTGGCCTTCTTAATACCAGCAACCAGCTCTTTTCTTGTCCTACTCAGCTCCTCTGAGTTTCCAGACCTGAAGGCAGTGTTCCTGGCTTCCAGCAGGGTGCGCACCTCTGCATTCAGCCAAGGTTTTCTGTTTGGGTAGCTTTTAACATTTTTGATAGTGGAGACTGTGTTAGTACATGTACTAATGTAACCCAGAACTGAGGATGCGTATTGGTCAAGATCAAGCGATCCTCCATTTTCAGCAGCTTCTCTGAAAACCTGCCAGTCTGTTCGGTCAAAACAATCTCTCAGTATGGGGCCACTGGCCTGGATCCAACATTTAACTTTCTTTTGTACCGGTCTGGAGCGTCTCAGTGGGGGCATGTAAGCAGGAGCCAGGAAGATTGAGATGTGGTCTGACAGTCCAAGGTGGGGGCGGGGTTTGGCTTTGTATGCATCTTTTACGTTCATGTAAACACGGTCCAGCATCTTGTCTCCACGTGCTGGAATTGTCACATGCTGATTAAAGCTTGGGAGACGGTCCTTTAGATTGATGTGATTAAAGTCTCTGGCTACAACGTAAAGAGCTTCGGGGTGTTTGCTCTGCAGAGAGCTGAGGAGATCATGGACCTTTTGATTTATGCTTTAATTCATGATGCCGTAATATCTTGTTATTAATATTTGATGCTGTGATCTTTTTTGTTAAGCACGTTGATAACAGTTACTGTTTTAAATGTGCTATATTTGACTTGACTTGATTTAAATAATAAACACGTCTTGGATCTACTTAGTTTGTCTTTAATGGATGTTTATGTACCAAGGAGCTTTAAGGTTGTTGTAATTAAACCTTTACTTAAGAAGTCTGACCTTGATTCAGAAATTCTGGCCAACCATAGACCTATATCTAATCTAACTTTCTTCTCAGAAATTCTAGAGAAAATAGTTGCAGGTCAGTTGTGTGAACATCACAAAGAAATAATCTGTTTGAAGAGTTTCTGTCACGATCCTCGAGGTTGGAACCCAAATGCAGGGAGGCGAGGCGAGGCAGGAGTCCAAAATAAAAATAATTTATTTTTAAATGACAAAACAAAAGGCTGTCGGTGCAGCAAAACCTTACTTTGGCAGACAGGATCAGGAACTAGGCAGAGCAGATCATCAGATGGACAAAAAAATCTGACAAGACAGAGGAGGACAGAGACATCTGTGAACACAGAACAATCACCCGACAAAAAGTGAAGGAGAGACAGGCTTTTTATGAGACAGAGGGAGAGTGAGTAACGAGAGCACCTGGGCAGGTGGCTGATGAGGGACAGGTGTGAATGATAAAGATTGAGTGGAGAGGCAGACTGAGGAGTGAGTGGAAAATAACAGAATCAGATAAACAGAAAATCACACACAGAGCAGAACAACAAAAACATAAAGAGCAGACAGAGACAGAACCAGTCAAACAGAACTCAGAATGTAATTAAAGTGACACATTTACAAAGCACCTTGAAAAGGAAGGAAAAGATTTAGTTTGTGGGATAACAGGACCAGATACACAAAAGCAGAAAACACACAAGGAGCAGAGGCTTAGGCAGATGGGGGGGGGCAGCGGGGACCGCTGACCGTGACATAGCCCCCCCTTAAAGGTCCGGCATCCTGACGGACCACCAAAGAAAAAGAACTAAGAAGGACCGGGCGGGTGGAGGGGGCACCGGAGGTGGGCAAAAAAGGCAGGTTGGAGATCCGAAGGGACCATCGTTCAGGGGGGCGGCCGGGAGGCCGTCCAACACGGGAC